TGCGACTGCAAAGCGCCTGACTGCTACATCTCAGACGCCTGTGCAGAACAGCTGACAGGAAGCAGGGGAACACCCACTTCCGCACAATCAATAATGTTTTTGAGGTGCCCTGTATTCACACCGACAAAATACATTTCATTTTTTTTTCTGGCACCATTCTGTGGTTTGTGTGGATGTTAAAGTACACGAGTCCGAACAATGTAAAAATCGTGTAAAAATTTCAAGAAGTGACGATGTCTTTGACTTCGAAGTTTCTCTGTTTTGCGTCAAGTTGACAAGAAACTACTATTGGACGAAATGGGAATTGGATAGGGTTAACCCAAGCTGTGAAGGATACAACACCCTTACAGAAGGTATCAAGGTTATTGGGTAAAACAACCAAACACAAAGAAACAAATAAACCAATAAAAATATCCTATAAACCCCCCCCCAAAAAAAACAAAAAACAAAAAACAAAACAACAACAACAACAACCGAACTCAAACAAAATCCCACTTACAAAATGCAGGTATGTAATTCTACGATCAGACTGTGTCAAAGGCGCCAAAGTAAACGGATACGGTACGGGTCATCCAGACAGCCCTTTATTATAGACTGCCATTGGGAAGGGTGACCGGGCCGTGTGTCAGCGCCGCGGAACTGTATCCGGTCAATTACGTCATCAGCCTGGAAGAACTCGGTCGCTTTTTCATCGCAGCGACATCCCAACAATCAGACAGCCAGCCAAGAAGCGCAGCGGGAGAAAGTTATACGCGAAATGGAGACGGCGCACGGGGAAGGCGATTTCCCTTGCGATGTATCAGACCATTGTATAAAGTCACCAAATTAGATGGGCCATTTTGTCTAGTCTTACATCAGGGTCGAGGCAAGAAACAAAATTACGGTTTTGTTTTGGTTGAAAGTCTGGGTGTTTTGCGATCCATGCGCATTTGAGAAAAAAAGTTGCGACGGTGGAGGACCTAGCATAGAGGTGGGAGGAATGGATGGATCGAGGAACTACTTTTCTTTGACTCCAGCAAGTACGTTAAGTTAAAAAGGTTTAAGAAATTCGTGTCACGGCGCAGTGGAATCAGGCGCTCGTTAATTTTTGGGCATACGGAGTTATTGGTGTTACATAAAGACTTGTCTACTATTTGTCTCGCTTTTGATGACCCCCCCCCCCACCAATCTATCATGAATTGAAGTGGAAATATTTTCGATTCGGAAAGGTGGTAATCACCTGATGTCAGAGGTTAAATAAGCGAGAAAATGCCTGCCAAAGTTCGGTGACTTACAGTGTTTGAGTGTCCTTGAAACTGCAAGTTCACAATTTTTTGGGGGAGGCTTTGATTAATGGGTTAAAAAAAAAAGTAAAATTCACACAGAAATGTGTTTGTAAATGAACAAAAGTTGCCAAGCTAAAAACATTTGAAAAATAAAAATAAAAAAGACAAATAAAAAATTTGCGACACGGTCAAAAAATATGCTGGTTTCTTTGTTTCGTTATTTCGATGAGCACCTGATTTCACCATGATGGCTCACATTTGGAGGTTTCAAAAATGTGTGGCCAATCAATCAGCTAAAGATGCTCGCTAAGAGAACTTCTCTTTCCATTTCTTTTTCCTTCGGAGAAGAAGAAGGGGGATGCTGGAGGGCATCCATGTTTAGAAATCGTGATTTTAATTTATTTCAGCTAGCTCACTTCTGTCATCGGTGCCTTCTGAGGCTTATTTTGTTTATACGTGCATTTCATCCATGATGCCGCAAACTTTTTTGTGTTCTCATGCAGCTAAATATGTGAGGCAGCATGGTGGAATCAGGCTCTTGTCAAAATAATCAAAGTTTAAGAAACTTGCATTTTTCCACAGGTTTGTGAATTTTCATCAAATTTTTGTTTTTTGGCTCAACACCTTTCATGCCCATTAAAGAACTCATTTCTGTGTAGATTTTTCTGAAAAACATTTTTTAAAGGCACAAAAAGTGTCAATTTTCAGTTTTAACGGACTCTAAAGCTAAGGAAATAACTAATATTTGGCAGCCATTTTCTCATTAATTTTATCGCTGAAAACAGGTGACCCCCACCTCCATCATTAGCAAATATCTCGACTTGTATTCAAGATAAATGGATATTTTTTTCATCCAAATAAAGACATCTGAACATGCTTTAAGATGATACCAATAACCCTACATGCCCAAAAATTGACGAGAGCCTGATTCCACCACGCTGCCTCACATATGCCTTCTGCACGTGAGGCAGACACCATGCTGACAAAATACAATTGTTGCTTTTCGCAAGGTAAACAACTGGGGACATTGGCAACAGTAAGGGCAATAGTTTAAAAAAAAGGAGACGAGAATCGTGTAACAAAAAATTACTTATATAACCTGGAGAGAGAGGGAAAGGAAGAAGCCATAGACAGACAGACAGACAGACAGACAGACAGACAGACAGACAGACAGACAGACAGACATATATATACATATATATATATATATATATATATATATATATATATATATATATATATATATATATAGATAGATAGATAGATAGATAGATAGATAGATAGATAGATAAATAGATACATAGACGGAGAGAATAGATAGATACATAGATAAATATTATAGACAGATAGATAGATAAATAGATACATAGACGGAGAGAATAGATAGATACATAGATAAATATTATAGATAGATAGATAGATAGATAGATAGATAGATAGATAGATAGATAGATAGATAGATAGATAGATAGATAGATAGATAGATAGATAGATGGATAGATAGATAGATAGATAGATAGATAGATAGATAGATAGATAGATAGATAGATAGATAAATAGATAGATAGATAGGTAGATAGATAGATAAATGTTTCAAAAGAGCAAATCAAAATCCGAGAATCTGTTCTATAAGCACAATATGGCTCATCTTAGCTGGGCTGGCCATGTCGTAAGAATGCCTCATTTCAGAATCCCAAAAGCACTATTCTATTCCACGCTGTCCTCGGAGAAGCTTTACGTCGGCACAAAAAAGGGCAATAAAGACACCCTGAAAATTTCTCAGAAGGATCCAACATTGACCCCTTGACAGGGAGAGCCTAGCTATTGACAGGTCCAGTTGGACAGCGACAATCACAGAGGGCAGCAAATCATACGAGGCCGCTTCACGGGTAGGAAATGAGGAAGCCAACAGTGTAGCCCGCAAGGCCACACGTGGAAATGAAGCTTTTAGATGTTCAAAATGTGTGTGGCAAATTCTTCTCTGCTAGAATTGGTCTTATTGTTTATAGTAGAAGGCATACATAATCTGAATACATCATGTACTTATTTCTTTTATTTCATCTTAAAGAAACGTTCTTTTCTGCAGATGCATTAGTCATCGACAAACATTGGCGCACAAAGTATTATTATTATTATTATTATTATTATTATTATTATTATTATTATTAATATTATTATTGTTATTATTATTACTATTACCATTATCATCATCATAATCATCATCATCATAATCATCATCATCATCATCATTATGATTATGATTATTAATAATTATTATAATAATTATTATTATAATAATAATTATTAGAAAGAGCACATATCTAAGCGTGGGTATACACACCGAGGTGTATGTGTGTGTGTGTGTGTGTGTGTGTGTGTGTGTGTGTGTGTGTGTGTGTGCGTGCGCGTGCGAGTGAGTGAATGTGCGAATGTGTGTGAGGGTGCTTTATCCAAAAAAGGTCCAGTAAAGTTTATATATCTTATTAATATCATACATCTATCATTCTTATCAAGGTACTTCGAATGGCAATCTCAAGAAATTCAAACAAAATACGACACCTCATGAGAAAGCAATTTCAGTATTGTTCTCTGATTTCCCATTTCTTTCGAATGTGCAATATGCAACATCTCCAATGTTTCTTTTGTTGGGGTGAATTCAAAGCGAAGGCAAACACAGGTGTAGTTTTCAGTCTGATAAAGCTTTTGTGCAAGACAGCCGATCAAAAAGGACAATTATACATATCACACACAGTTCGAATCAGTATTTAGCCGGATATATCAATCGGTCAACTAGAGTCTCTTCTGGCCTGTGCGTCGATTAACCCAATAAAACGAAATGGTTGGATATTGTTTAGACGTTACTTTCGACACTTTTACAGTTATTTTAGAAGCAAGACCACCGGATTTACGTCAGCTTATGATAAAAACCAGTCGAAGCTTGCAAAAGTCCTTGAAAACTCTTTCCTCACTTCACCCAGGTTGGAATGGATACCGGGTTATAAACAGCGAAAGATCTTATCAGTTTGTTAGTTTTTGAGCGCTTAATCCTAATCGGTTGCTTGTATTATTTTCTTCTCAAGAAGGCGAGAACATTTCTGGGCATTCTAGGGTCTGCTGGAGTAATACTATAGATTGTAAAGTGCATAGGACATAGAAATCTTGGCGAACACCAAAAGTAGGCATTGCCCTACCCACAGGAGACGTTTGGTATCAGTAGTGTGTATATTTGTTTCGTTATAGAGAAAACTCTTCTTGTTTTTTAAAGACACTGAAAAAGGGGCAAAGACGTTACCTTCGATTTTCTCAAAACAGCATTTTCCGGGATAGCCCCCTTGTGCTTAAAAGCGACAAGTTAAAAAAGGTCATGCATTCGCAAAACAGCCTAGCAAGATACCAACTCAGTGAACGGCACATGCACAAAATAAGTGTGTGCATGAAGGCACTGTGTTTGTTTCGACTACACGAAACAGTGATTTGAGCACAACCTCACCTCCCTGACTATCTGTCCCTTTCTCTCTCTCTCTCTCCCTCCCTCCCTCTCACTCTCTGTCTCCCTCCCCCTTTCTCTCCCTCTGTATGTGTGTGTGTGTGTGTGTGTGTGTGTGTGTGTGTGTGTGTGTGTGTGTGTGTGTGTATGTGTGAGGGTGTGTTTTGTATAAATATCTAATGTGCATACAACGCTTTGCCTGGAGTCGGCAAAAAGTAACAAGTGGGCGTGAGTCCTAAGGGTCTTACCTCTCCTGCTGCTTGACCAGTTCTGCCTGGTGTGAGCGCTCCACGGCGCGGACTCGTTCACTGATGACCTTCTGCAGCTCTGGGCTGTCCAGCTTGTAACTGTTCTGCATCTCCTGCCTAAGTACAGATACATAATATGGTCACTTTTAAGGACAAGCGGGCTAACCCAGGTTTCGGGGGTTTCCAGAAATCTAGACCTACACCAAACCGGGCATTGCCCTACCTATAGGAGAAGTTTGGTTTTATTGGTGTGTATATTTGTTTGGTTATAGAGAAAAACTCTCCTTGTTTTTTAAAAGAAGCGGAACAAAGATCCAAACACTTTACCTTCGATTTTCTCAAAACATGATTTTTTCAGGATAGCCTCTTCATGCTTAAAAGCGACCATATATGCCCGAGTGGGAAACTTAAATAGCAACAGAATGACATTTGTACCATGAAATAAGGATGACCTACAAAAATGCGATACACAACTACTTTTTTTTCACAATCAACACAGTGAAAATGGTACTAACAATATTGATAAACTGATACAAAAATAGTAAGATCCGTACATGAATAACAGAATGTCGATGATAGCAATAATAAAAAACAACAATAATGCAATAATGATAACTATGTAACAAACAATGATGATGTTATAATCATTGCCATCGCCATGTCATAAATTCTCTTTCTCAACCCCCCTCCTCCCATTCTGTCTGTCTTTCCCTTTCTCTTCCCTCTCTACCCCTGGTTTCGGTTCTCCTTTGGGTGTGCGTGTCTCCATTTTTCTTTTTAAAATCTTTCGCCCCCCCCCCCCCCACTTACCCTCTTTATTCTGTCTCTTACTCTCATCCCCTATCTTTTTTCCCCTCACTCTTTCACCCCCCCCCCCTTTCCCCTTTTCACCGTCTCCATATTGAGAAGTACCTTCAACCTGTCTCCCCCATATTTCAGCCCTCCCAATATTCTTCAGTTTCTGTCTGTCTATCTGTCTCCCTCTCGTCTCCGTCTGGCTGATTGTCTGCCTGCCTGTCCATCAGTCTGTCTGTCTGCCTATCTCTGTCTCTCTCGTCAGTCTCTGTCTCTCTCTCTCTGTCTCTCTCTCTGCCTATCTGTCTATATCTGTCTCTGCCTATCTACCTCTGTCTCTCTCTCCCTCTCTCTGCCTATATGTCTATATCTGTCTGCCCCCACCCCTCTCTCTCTCTCTCTCTCTCTCTCTCTCTCTCTCTCTCTCTCTCTCTCTCTCTCTCTCTCTCTCCCCGGCCCCCCTAACGCGTGCAGTCGTCCACAGACCTGTGCTGCTGTTCCCGTGTGGCCAAAGTCTCCTGCAGTTGTTGTAACTTGAGCTTGCTACTCTCCGCAGCGTGTCTCAGCACTTCCGCCTCCCGGCTCATGGCGGACGCTCGCTGCTGGGCCTCTTGGAGTCGCTTCGTCTGAGGGCCAAAATGGGACAAATCAGACCATGACAATAAAAGGCTAGTATTTTATTTTTTAAAATAATTATTTTTTTGTAAGTGTTTTACGGCGCTCGCAACTGCATAAGATCATATGAGCGCGCGAAACACACCTAATACTTTTTAGTTGGTAAGAAATTTTGAACTTTGCCCGGGTGGCGGCCGAAGCCTACTCTTATCGATTTTAGACCAACAAGGGATCTTAAACGTGCGCAACTTGCACACGGGCCCTCTGGGATTTTTCACCCTTGTCCGAGAAGGCTAGGTGTAGATCTTTCCTACCAGAAGATCACGGGTGTGGCAGAAAGACAGCTGTAAGAAGGAGTCAAGGAGTAGCAGTAGAAAGGCTGCAGAAAGAGTCAGGAGCCCAGATGAGGGGGCAAAGGAGGTGTGGGGGTGGGGGCAGAAAGAGGAGACGAATGCAGGCGATAAAATATTGCTAGAAAGCAGGAAAGGAGGTGAAAGGAGGTGAAAGGAGACAATTTTAGAGAAGAAAATTTTTCGGTCACTACCTGGATTCGAACCCTGGACCTTTGAATGAGAGGCCAACACCTTAACCTCTAGGCCACGAGAGCCCCTGGCTAGTAATTTAATATCTTAAGCCACCATCCACCTGAGTTCAGACCATCACGGGGGCGGTTTACTGCGACCCTGCCTATATCTGGTCCAACTCAGACATAAAAAACTCCCATTTGCTTTCCCTTTTATTCTCATTTATTTATCAATTTTTTAAAAAACTGTCCTTTCGTGAATACAGTTGAAGCATGTTTGTGAAAGTTCTTCGTTAAGTGGTTGAACTGGTTTTCTTTTTTTTTCTGTGAAATATTTTTTCTTGTCTAAATGATTATGTGATTGGTGTAAAGCGCTCAGAGCTTATACTGGTATAGGATAGAGCGCTATATAAATGCAATCTATTATTACTATTATTATTATTATTATTATTATTATTAATTTCTTCAGAAAAAACCTGGAGCAAGTTTTAGCTCCCATCAACAATTTTAATTTTTATTTTGTGAGAGACGGACCGTTTCGACCCTGTTTGTCAAGGCCAGTCCGGATTGAGAAGGAAACAGCATCCCAGTGGAAGACAATGATGCTCGTCAGAATTACCTTCCAAACGCAGGGATCGAGCTCAAGTCTTTTGTATTCAAAAAAAGTAAATAGCTTCATCAAAGCACCACAGACACACGTAGCAATTAACGATAACAATAACTGCAAATATAAGAGAGACGATCGAACAGAATCTATTTCTTGATGCTTTTATGCTCCAATCGACACAAGTTAGATCATTTAGGGGGCGGGCATCCGACCTTGCCTGTCAGGGCATTCCTCGTCTAAGACGGATACAGCATCTCAGCAGACAGACCAAGATACCCGATAAAAATGTCTTCCCACTCGGAAATCAAACTCGGGACTATTGCGTAGGACTGCGGAGCACCTTACCGTTAGACCACAGAGATGCGAACAGGCGATGACGACAATATCAAAAGGTGTCGCAGCAAGTAGGCTATTGCACTGAATGCTCTACGTCCTCACAGACAGATGCTATTTGAGTCAGGCAACCTACTGCTGAATAAGAAAACGTAGTCATGACAGCTCTCCTGGTGAATGCAGAACAGAAGAAAGAAGAACGTAGTCATGACAGCTCTCCTGGTGAATGCAGAAAAGAAGAAAGAAGAACGTAGTCATGACAGCTCTCCTGGTGAATGCAGAAAAGAAGAAAGAAGAACGTAGTCATGACAGCTCTCCTGGTGAATGCAGAACAGAAGAAAGAAGAACGTAGTCATGACAGCTCTCCTGGTGAATGCAGAAAAGAAGAAAGAAGAACGTAGTCATGACAGCTCTCCTGGTGAATGCAGAAAAGAAGAAAGAAGAACGTAGTCATGACAGCTCTCCTGGTGAATGCAGAAAAGAAGAAAGAAGAACGTAGTCATGACAGCTCTCCTGGTGAATGCAGAAAAGAAGAAAGAAGAACGTAGTCATGACAGCTCTCCTGGTGAATGCAGAAAAGAAGAAAGAAGAAAGAAAAGGTAAACACCAGTACGTGGGACTTCGTGGTTAATGAGACTACAACAAGGAGGGAAACACACCATCATCGACCATCCTATTAATTCCCTATCGACGTAGTGGACAAATAATATGTCCGATCAGCAGTCAAATGTAATTTCGAACCATCAGACACAAATCAACAGAACAATAATTTTGTATAGTTCATAATATATTACTTTTTTAATGCTGTTGCCTGTCTTTTTAAATAAGGCAAATATAACAGAGAAATCTGTTTCTATCGCAAAGCTATGCTTCTTTTTTAAAGTGCCCCAAAAAGTGCGTCTTCATAGAAAGTGATCTACATTGTATTACGTATTTGGTCTCTTTTGTCCGTCTTGACATTTATTTTGTTTATTTAAGGAAAGAAAGGCACTTCGCGACGACACTACTGGTGTTTTGGTTCTGGAAAAAAGCAAGAAAGACGGACAGACAGAAATAAAAGAGGGACGCTATCGAAATAGTATCTGATTGTACTAGTGACCCCAGACAGCCGTCTCTGTGAGTACGAATTCTACGCCCTACAGAGCAGCAGAGGTTGTTACTGTGACAGGGCTCTTGCTTGGTGCTGTGGTTTTCAGACGTAAAGAACTTTTTGGTTTTAGTAAGAGTTTTACGGCGCTTGCAACACAATAAGGTCAAATAGGTGCCGCAGAATAGATGTGCCACAAGAGAGTAACATACACAAAAAAAGGAGGAGGAGAGATAAGGACGACATGCATTTTAGAGTAAAGAAGGAGCAAGCCACACCAAAGCACCAGTCAACCATCCAATACGTAAACAGTGTTAGTAAAAGTGTTACGTACTTGTAACATAGTTGGATCATATAAGTGCCGATGTTAAGCGGGTTTACAAGAGAGTAACATACAAATAAAAAAAAGGAGAGGTAAAGACGATAGACGTATTTTAATTTTTGTAAAAGTGTCACGGCACGTGCAACTCAATTAGGTCATACAAGTGCAGAGGTTTTTCAAAGGTGTTGCTGGAGAGTAATATACACTAAAAAGGAGGAGGAAAGATAAGGACAATAATATATGTTTGATAGGAAGAAGGGGTAACCCACACCAGAGTATCCGCCAACCACCGACACTCAAAGAGTAAGGAAGAAGGAAGAAAGAGAGAAGACATGATACACTGTATTGAACACCACAAACATGCATTTTGTTTTAGTACGAGTTTTACGGCACTTGCAACACAATAAGGTCATATACGTGCCGTAAATTAGATGCGTTACAAGAGAGTAACAAACACAAAAAAGAGGAGGAGAGATAAGGATGATAGACGTTTGATAGGAAAGAAGGAGCAAACTACACCAGAGCACGCGGCGCCAATCACCCACAAACATACATATGAGCACAGACCGTTAGATGTGGTTTTCCTACAGTTGAGACAGGTATTTACGCTTGCTGGTCAGCACTAAGTTCCCATAACCTACTACGCAAGGGGAGGGGATAAGTGGGCAGCTGGTTCGGCCATTGGATATTTTCACACAAACATGATATAAGACAATTGCAGGCACACAATCACACACACACACACACACACACACACGCACACACACACACACACACGCGCACACACACACACACGCACCGAAACGCACACACAAACACAAGCACATGTACACATACACACACCTACACACACACATACACACACCTACACACACACATACACACACATACACTGAAACGCACACACAAACACAAGCACATGTACACATACACACACCTACACACACACATACACATACACACACATACACTGAAACGCACACACAAACACAAGCACATGTACACATACACACACCTACACACACCTACACACGCACATACACTGAAACGCACACACAAACACAAGCACATGTGCACATACACACATACACACACACACACGAGCACGCATACATACTCTTAAACCGACAGATCTTCTCTAACAAATGTCCGGGGCAGCTGCCTCTGCTTATTCTCAATAAAGCTAGGTATACACATTTCGACCAAAACATCAGTTAGCAGATAGATAGAGCCCTAGGCCCCCAGAAACCGGGAGAAATCGGGAGGCCTAGCTGGATAGAGCCACTCGCAACAAGTCGTGTCTATTTGTAACCTACGGCGTCGGTGAGCTAGTGGTTAGGCTACCGGACTCGTAATCATGAGGTTGTGGGTTCGGGGGTTCGAGCCGCCGGCCCGACGTTGTGTCCTTGGGAAATACACTTTACACGAATTTTCCCCACTTCATCCAGGTGGGAATGGGTACCCAGCTATAGACAGTGAAATATCTTGTCAGTTTGTTAGTATTTGAGGGCTTAACCAGCTGCTTGCACTGCATGTTTCCCGGGAAGCTGAAAATGTTACTGAGTGTTCTATGGTTTACTGGAGTAATCATAATATAGTGTAAAGCGCATAGAGCTTGCTTTCGAGAGGGGACATGCGCTATACGAATGCTATTTATATGTATGTTGACACCGTCTGTTATTAACAGTAATACGATTTTCCTTGTACATGGGTGTAGCAAAGTCATACAAACAGGGGCCGTTAAAGAAAGAAGAGCACCGCTCTCTGGAGGTAAGGTCACTGTTGACGTATTGTACTTTTGACAGAAATGTCAAAACACTGTAACAAATATACTTTGTTGAATAGCATTACAACGGAAAAATGAATAAAGAAACATGATCGGCGATGTTTGTTTCAGATCTGTCACTTTGCGATGATGGTGGTGATGATCATAACAAAAATGATGATGACGGTGATTGCGAAATGATGGTGATGATGAAGATGATGATGATGAAGATGATGATGATGATGATGATGATGATGATCGTTTCCTTAATGGGCCTGACGGACTTCACGAAGAAATCTTCGAGCGAGAGCGAGGCTCTTTTTCGGCTCCATTGTCAATATGCTTAGCGGCACCTCCACTCGTCCAAATAACTC